CATCAAGCACCATGGATAAGTATATATTTTTTATATAAAATACCTACACACACGCAGACACACACATATGCACACAGAAAAACATATAGATTCATATATATAGATATAGATATGTATATGACTACATTTATATACATACGTGCATACAAGCATACACACACACATATATATGTATCTACATTTATATATAAATCATATACATATACATACACACTCATGCACACACACAAATATATATGTATGTATGTATATATGTATATGTATATATTTATTTTGTCTCTATATGTGTGACTATGTGATTTCTCACGTATATCGCCTATCATAAATATATTCTAAAGGCATGTATTAGCATCAACATGTAACATGAACATCAGGCATACACTTTCCCCTTAGATGTGCAATTTGTGGCAGTTTTGTTCAAATCCAAGTTCTACATAATCAGTACTGCCAACTTTTGAAAAAGGCTGGGGCAATTTAATACAATCTTCTGAAGAAAAAATAGAATGGATGCAAACTATGTAGCATTCGTGTTCGCTGCGGCTAAGGGATTTCACGCGGATTGCTTCCCCATTGCCAGTTGGACTGCTGTTAGTGACTTGGACCTTAACTAGATTTTTAAGGTAATCCCAGAATGGGACAGAAATATATGGTTGATATCCTTATGGGTTCTTTTGGAAAGGATGAGAGAAAATGAATATTCATTGCAATAATTTATATAGTTCAATAAATATTTGTACAGGATGAACAAGAAGGTCCTTAGTTATCATCAGCAAACGTCAGAATTCAGACATGATTATCGATTTACTTGGACTCGTTGGAGTCGTACACGTATCTGTATTCACGGGATTCGGATGAACCAGACTCGAAAGAAGCCTCGCCCTCGTAGTTGACCTCAGCCACGTAGCCGGAGTCGCCGTCCACGAAGTACTTGACGGTCTGCAGGCGGCCGTCAGGGAGCTCCACGTAGTAGGATCCCTGAGTGTGGTCGCCGTCGCGGGCTTCCTGGTGTCCGAATTCGTTGCTTGAGGGATCGTGGCTGACGGCCCAGTTGAAGTCGTACTTGGCCTCACCTGACTCGTACGACTCGAAGGATTCAGAGGACCTCTACAAAAAGTGTAAAATGTTTTATAATAGTTGAAATATTAGATGTAGAAAATTTAATTATTGTATATTCTCGATGTAATGAAACAAAGAAAAATAAAACACTAGGAAACTAACCCTTGGTGGCCTGTATTCGAAGGACTCGAAGCTGTCGGCAGCAGCAATGGCTGCTAGGCCCAGGAGGATGAAGACCTGAAATAGAAAATAAAAACATAAATAAGAAAAAATGCATATTTCTCTAAAGGAACACTTTGAAACTCAAACAAAAGTGAGTAATTCACACATCGCTGAAAATTGTTGTTTTTGGCGTTCACCTTGGTGTTCATGGTGGGTTCGGTGCTTTCAGACGGAACTAATACAGTCGCTCATCTACAGACCGTTTTATACCACGACTACAAGGTCATCCATGGACAAGTTCTTATCGCGTTTCTGCAACACAGGGCGAGGCTATCTTGCTACTGTATTGCGTACTGCGCATGGTTATTGTACAGGCATAAACATACAGTCTATGTCTATATACATTTATGTCCATATGCGGTGTGTATATATCTTATATGCATGCGTTCATATGTATCACACACACAGACAAACATTCACATACATTCACATACATGTATATATATATGTATATATATATATATATATATATATACATACATATGGATGTGTGTATGTCAAATATATATATATATATATATATATATGCGTGTGTGTATGTCAAATATATATATATATATATATATATATATATATATATATATATATATATATATATATATATATATATATATATGTATATACATATACATACATATATATATATATATATATATATATACATCTCTATATATATAAGTGTATAAATGCATATATTATAGATATACATATGAATGTACACATATACTATCTCACTATATATAAATGTATAAATACATATATTATAGATATATATATGAATATTTATAAATATATACACAAACACATACATATATTTCTAAGATAAATATTTAAATATATATAAGACATTTAAATATATGAATATATATATGAGATATATATCTAAATATTTGATATATATATGTCTGTGTGCGCGCATTGTGTGTGTATGTCTATTCACACACACACACATATATATATACATATACATATATATACATATATATGCATATATATATATATATATATACATATATATATATATATATATATATATATATGTATATACAAATACACATGTGTGTGTATCTATTCATATATATGTATTATGACAGTGGAGAAGTGATAAATAGATAAGCGGACAGGGACAAAATTAGAAAGACTGAAATAACTGACGTTGGCTGGTTTATTTAGTATTGTTATATGGCCACATAGTGTCTATGGCTTTTGGGACATTTGCCGG